TCATAGCAGCAAGGAATTTAGCCCTGCTCTGTGTCCTGGCACTCTCCAGCGGTTGGAACACGCGAATTTCAGGATAGAAGCACGTGAACTCCAGGTTTTTTACGGTAGACAAAATAAACGCTGAATATGTTGACCGAGGGTTGCCAAAATTCAGCTAGGGTTCTCTACCATACCGTAGACCAGGGTGAGTAAAGGTCGAGGAATTCCTCGACCATGGCTCTCTGCTGTGCGAGAGTAGTGTCGAGAGTGAATGTACACGCGGAGAGCACAGACGGCTCGCGGTGGCGAGAGTGAATATCCGCGCGGGAGAGCGTGACAGAAAGGCGAAAATGGGTACCCGACAGGAGGCCCGTCGCGCGGCAAGAAGGCAGAGTCGCGGACGAGTCGCAGCGCGTGATGTGCGATGTAGGACGTACAATGGTACATTCTATTTAACTTGACGCGAAATCACTACAGTCACAACGAAATTCATGTAAGCTCCTTCATGATTCAGGCTTGTTTACTGTTAAGGTCCCTATTTGTCTAGGGAGTCTACGGCAGAGTGGAAAATCGGCCGAGGAAACGGCAACGACTCGACAGTCCGCGCTGCGACTCGTCCGCTGACTCTGCCTTGTTTCCGCGCGACGGGCCTCCTGCCGGGTACCCGGCGAAAATCCTCAACGAATCGTTGCCGTTTCTTCGGCCGATTTTCACCCTGCCGTAGACTCACTAGACAAATAGTGACCTTAACAGTAAACAAGCCTGAATCAGGAAGGAGCTTACATGAATCCCGTTGTGAAGCGCAATTGCTTCACTATTCCCTCGCGCCACAATTCGCTGGCTTAGAAACTTCGTCGAGGCAACTGGAAGTCGGGTTAGTCATCACGTTGGCTGAAAACCCTCTATATATTGAGAAGTGCTTCGAGTGCACACCACACACCACAAGGGACGACGGCTAAGAAAAAATGGCTTTTTCTTTCTTCGGGATAGCTTCACCCCATTTGTCATCGATATCTCCGGAACTAAAGAATGATTCCTTCCCATATTTTCACCAGCTATACCTTAGGAGAGGCGTATCGAAATGAGATGAATAAGTTTGAAAAAAAGCTGGCACAAATTCTTCTGAAATTTTCCTTGCTGAACATTTCGATCCGAAAATAACATGGCATGCGTCAAAATTATGTAGGTTCTTGAGAGCTTCCTTTAGCAATGTATCAACAAAAGTTGAGACAACCAAGAAAATACAAGAGCCTCTAAATCGTGCAACTCTACTCTCCACCTTCGCGGGAATCTCAGTCATGCCGGGTTCCGGCAAAGAAACAGAGCAACTTAGGAATTGTTTGGGTGGTGCCCACTCCAAACCTCTTGCGATAGATTTTTGATTTGTCCGCATTTTCAATCTGGCCGCAAAGTGGGTTAACATTGGACGAGAGATGGGCGAGAGGTGTGTCGATTGAATTATCAGTCAATTAGAGTAAAGTATAGGATTGAAGTAGTTTGCCGGTCGATGATCCACTGTTTTTGGGACTGCGGCGCATGCATTCCATCTTCCATGTTGTAACATTTCGTGGCGGCTTTGATATGGCGATGTGGTCTTATACATTGACTGCCGGCGGGCAGCCGATAGCCGAAGTCAGTCTGTGTTAGTAAGTTCTGCAGACAAAGGTCGTGGTAGCCGCAATTGACCGAACCCAGGAGGGAGGAAGCGCTTCGTTGCGCCGGCGACTACACGACCCATCACGGAAGGATCAAACTTGTGATTATTTTCCCGCTATGTTTCTTGACATTTCCTCGGTGCCTCAGAAAAAATGGACATGGTTCACTGGGCTTCCCTCACATGTCCCGCCTACAAGAATCCAGAAAACCATTTGGAAGAAACGCTCAATGTTCTGAAAGACCCCCCCCTTGTCAGCGTAGCTGAACGCAGCGTTATGGGTTCGACGTCTCTGCCTCTCAGCTCTACCCATCGCTTTTTCCTGGTCACTGGGATGTCTAGAACCGTATTCTACAATTTCTTCACCAAAGCCTTTTTTCACGCATGCCCCGCCTACTGTGGGCGGGGTTTCTGATGACAAACACATTCTCCTTACAGAGTATTGGAGTAGTTAGCTTCCCCGATAGTCTGATTTTCGTGATTGTGCTGAAGAACTCCACACTGTGGTAAATTTCTTGATCAATTAGAGAGATAAACCTACTTTTTTCAGCATGCAGCGGTCACTATCTGTGACGTCATTATAACCCTAAATTCACCCTTTTTTAATCCAATATTTGTCTTCCACCTGGCATAGTACTGCAGAACGCGTGAGGCAGGAAAAGCAATAAGAAGTCTTCCTCACATCTATCTCAGTAAGAACACGAGGCAGAAGAACCAGATAAACCTCTGCTTTTGGGACGCCATCCTTTCGAAAAAAATTAGCTAAAAGTCTGGGTGGGTTTCTTTCATTTTCAGGTGTACTCAGTTTATATCAACACCGCTTCCACAAGGTATGGCCGATGTCACACTTTGCGAATCTAGCGATTCGCTCGCGTCCGCGATCGCGTTGCGGTCCAATCGAGAGATTCGATGGCAGCGACGCGACCGCGGTCATTGGCGAAGTCTGACATCGCCAGCAAAAATTTTGAGCGAAGTGAGTTAACCCATTCCCAACGTAATGGGCTGGAAAAAAGTACCACACACCCCTGGAGCACACTGTATATATATCGCAGTTGAAACGGCAAAAATTATCAAAATTTTCATGACTTTCCCAAAATCACGACTTCATCCAGCTGTCCCGAGAACTCGCCATCGCCTTCCTCAAAGATAATATTTAGATATTTATTTTTGAATACTGTATTTGCTTCTTCTGATAATACTTTTTCAGGATGAATATTTACCCTTTTCAAATATTCAGCATGACTGCCCTTCTAAAAATCACAAGTACACGCTGCTCGTTGAATTTTAATACACCCAGTGGACCGTTGGCTCAGCTGATAGGTCGAGCTGAATCTGAGAACTCCGTGCTCATACCATTTACTTGGGAGAGGAGACATTCAAGTGTGTGAGCCACTTAGAGCCACTTACAGCGCTTGGGACTAAACCTCTAAACCTCAGGGACAGAAAGGGACTCTGGGGGAAGATGTGAACAATGTTTGTTCTTCCTGATGTTTTTCCCTCTCGCTGGCCTAATTCCATAGTGCCCCCAACCATGGACTGTTCTGTAAAATGTATCTCCCCCTGCTGCCGCAACAGGATCACATGAGCGCTCAAAAAAAATATTGAGGGTGGATCCAGTCTCACCCATTGAAACCTCGAACATCTGCGTTTTTGGTACTGTGCTATACCTGTTTTCTGCCCTCGAGGTTTAAAACCGGCTAAACTTTATCACTGACGCAACTCGACCGTTCTCGTCGTTTCCGAAGCGCAAAATCTCGAAAGATAAGTTACTTTAGTTTCCAGCATAAATTTAGCGGCAGTCAGTACATTAGGTAGTAAATAACTTTACTTTGCCGAAAAAATTGGAAAAAGCAAAAAAGGATATAAATTTGAAGAGACAAATGCATATGTGAATTGAAGAAAAGCAAAGGAAGGATATAAATGAGAAAAAAAAACAAATGAATTACGGTATGTTTGACCCAGGTAGGGCAAATGTTGTTGTAACGCCACCCATACAATATGCAGTTGAGTAAACTGTCACGTATTTCATTACTGGGCCTAAAAAATATGAGTGAAACGGGAATCAATCATTTTCAAAATATGAGATAAAATTCTCGTCGTTGGATTCTCGTCCAGAGTAATGACATTCCTGTGGTTGTCCTCCAACAAGAGAGGTCCTTGGAGAACATGAAGCGCTTTTCGAAACGTTTTCTGCATGTTGTACGAGGCGCTCATACAAGACGACGAACCATGTCTATTTTACTGACGCCTCAACGGTATTCAAAACGAGGGTGCAAGGAAATGGTCCAGAGTTCGATCCCCGGTGATGCTAATTTTTGCAATATAGTTTGGCGCCCCCAGATTGCCGCCAAATAGCGCCATCGTCGAGAATAGATGTCATTGTCGTGTTTTGCGGCAATTTGGAGGCGCCAACATGAATTGCAAAAATTTGTCATCACGGAGGATCGAACTTTGGACCATTTCTTCCCCGCTGTTTTGACATTCCTGGGGCGTTCAGGAAAAATGGACCACGGTGCTCTGAGCTTCTCTCTACAACATTCAGAAGACCATTTTGAAAAAATGCCCATTTCCTAAAAGACCTCCCTTGTAAGGGTCTATCCTACAGATCGAAGTGAATCAAGCACACGACTTCTGCCTGGGTTGCGCCTTCGATGGAGCTGAAAAGCTCTTGGTTTGAAGGTTTCTCGTATATTATAGCGGAAACGTGCACTATGTGCACGACGTCCCACATAAATTAATCAAGTAGTGGATTTTATTCACTGCGATGAATTTTGAGCACCAATTTTTTCCATTATTCATTTCACTTTTGGAGAAAGCCTTGATTTTCAGCCATTTGTATCGAAACGAATCCAAATGTGCCAGATGTACCACAGGCGGATGGTTTGGTGAAGGCTTTTTGTCCTTATTTTTTTTGAAGCATCTATTCCCTTACTAAAATCAATTAACGATGAGGTAACTAGATACCTATAAAGGCCTTCCTCAGTTAACCAGGAACTTTGTCTCAAGCACTCCAGTAATCGCCTTCAGGGTGCCTCTATCGATGGAGCTGTGTTGTCGAATTGTAGCCAGCAATATGTGGTGCTGGTAGATGAGACAATGTACTGGATCCCCTTCTTTTTGGAAGCCAATGAACCGATCAACCCTACATTCGATCTGCCAGGCGAGATGGTGGTAGTGTCCATCTGGCAAGATAGTAAGATAGAAGCCCACGGCGTGACACAACACCAATTTAAACACTTCATAGTGGATAAATTCACAGTAATTTTATGCAACTAAAAATTTGTCCTATTTCATTCTCAGTAATAGATCGCAGGTGCATCTGGAGTCATAAGGATTATTAGAACTACAGATCTCAATCAGAAGTGTCAGTAAGGCTCGACATTCGTGATTGAAGCTTTCCTTCTGATTAATTTGTTTCGTTTTCGGTACTAGCTAACTTCGCTTAAAGTCACTTGAAACCCCTAGAATTCATTTAAAACTTGTGGCATATCTAAGCGGGTGATTCATTGAATTTTCCTAACCATAGAAGAGTCCGGGAAAAATGTATTCCTTCTGACTCACTCCCCCCCCTCTCCCACGAATTCATAATTCTTAACTTATCCTTGAGAGGCCGCCAACCCCGGGGTGAGAAGTTGAAGTTATTTTCCCCAAAGATCCTTTCTGGCTCGGAATTTATGGGCTTCACGTCCTCACATAGTTACTGGACCTAGTTGTAGGATAGGTGCAGGCGCTAATGCCGTTTGGGGGCATGCAAGTGAGCCACTCACAGCACTCGAGAACAAGCCTCTGGGAGGGGGAGAGATTCTGGGGGGAGAGATTTTGGGGAAGAATGTGAGCAGATTGTGTGCTCCCTAATGTTTCTCCCCTCTCCTGGGCTTAGTCCTAGTGTCACCTACCATAGATCCCGTTTTGAATGACCCCTTCCCCTCAAATTGATAAGCGCCTAAGTGTTATTAGGAGGAGAAAGGGGGTGAAAGGGCCGAACATCTAAGGTATTCAAAACAATGACAAAGGTTTCCATTCTGCTCGCTCACTTCCTTTTGGAAAAGGAAGCTGGATGCCCACACAGGGCTTTCTCCCCTGCCAAAATTGGAATGTTACTGTTGCTGGTGTGAACGAGTTCGCGTCGCGATTCCTACCCTCCATTCCCCTAACTATACCCAACCTTAAAAAGCTCCAGTCTGAGTAGCTCTTGCAATCATCCTTATTTTTCGAGTTTGTGTGGTTTTCTAACCAGTAGGGTACGGTTCTACAGTTTCGACACGTACAGTCTATCGTTTTCACGAGCCTATTCCTCTTATCGGCCGTGTTTATGTAGGCACTTCAAAGAGGCGCTAAAGTCTTACGTGAGTGATGTGATAAAGTTCGATTTAGTGCCAATAAAAGTCCCAATCAGGAACAAAGAGAGTCGCAAGAAGTTTATCAAGTTCGTCTAGCCGAAATGAGCAGATGAAGCCTTTGAAGGGACGACCGCGGAAAATACTAATTTTGGTCTAGAATAAGTGGTGAATTGAAGAGCATGGGAAGATAAATCATCAAATTCAACTGACTCAACGAAGAGTCCGGGGAGGTTTGAGCACAGTGAGGAAATTTCGGATTGCGAAAAAATCGTTCCTCTTTTTGCTCTGTCGGCTATAACCGCAGCGAGCTCCAGCTAGTATGCTGGGGAACTTCGGAGGGAACCAGCTACTAGGTGATATAACTCACGAGAACTGTTCATCTTTAGATTTAGGTTCCTCTTTGCCTTTGTCCCTGAAGCCTTTGATAGACCCGTACCTTTGTTTATATTTACCACTCTGATAGATCGCTATTTCCAATGAAATTATTACAGGTACGATCTATTTCCTTGATGAAATTGTCGAACAATCGCCGACAGCTTATGGAGTCAGATTCAACTCGTTGCCACCGGGGCAGTACCTAGTGAGACCGTCGGCCGACCTACCGACAGGCTATTGTCAGCTCTCGATGAGGGTAGGTACAACAGTTCATGCTAAAGCGCGACTCCAGAAGGTTCACGAGAATGCCTTGATTTTAAGGCACGAACCGAGATGACGCTACAAGGAGGATTTGTGCTCGGCAGCGGTTACAATGTGGAGCCGTC